TGGGGCCCTGGGATCAATTTGTGGGGTGCTGTCTTTGTGGAGTTTGTATGTTATCCTTTTGTTTGTGTGCGTTTCCTCTCAGAGACAGTCTGGTAAGTTAATTGGCTTCTGGGAAAACTGGCACTGGTATAAGTGTGTGTGTTTGTGTCTGCCCTGTGATGGACTGGCATCCTGTCCAACGTGTACCCCACCTTCCACTCAATGCTTGCTGGGATAGGCTCCGGCTCCTCTGCGACCCAGAACTGGATGAAGTGGTTATCCAAAGTGATGTGATGATGTACCTGTGACCCCCAGTAGCCCTTAGACACCCTGGGAGTGCCTTTAAAACTGAAAGCAGGGGGCATTTCTTTACACAAAGGAAGGTGGGGGTGTGGAGCAGGTTGTCCGGATGTGGTGTTGAAACCGATGCCCTGGTTTCTCTCGAGTAACAACTGGAGGAGATCTACAGTCAAACAGCCGCTAGAAATGGCTTTGAAAAAGGGAGCAGTTCTGGTTCAGATGGGGATTTTTGAAAGAAGGTGCCCGAGTCCCTGAAAGGGCTCTCCCTGGGTGTGAACGCCAGTGGGATTCTGGGCTCTCAGGGAGCTGCCGGAGTGAGTTCTGAGCACGAATGAAATCCCACGTGGTAGCCATGTTCCATCGCCAGAGCCTTCAGAACGGCTCCAGTATTTCCACTTCAGGGATTAAAAGCACAAAGTACAGTTCACTGACACGTCTGCAGGGCTCATGAGTCCTTTATCTCTCTCCTTCCTCGATCTTTCAGTCTCTCATGCTCTTCCCTGCTCTCTTTCAACCTGTCTCTCTTCTTCCTCTTTCTCCTCTCTCATTCCTTCCACTCTTTCCTCCCTCTGTCTCCTTCCTCGCTCCTCCCTCTTTGTCACTCTCTCCCACTCTCTCCCTCTCTCCCACTCCCCTTTCTCCACTCTCCCCTGTCTCCCTCTCTTTCTCCTCCCTCTCGCCTCTTCTCTCCTCTCTCTCTCAAGTTCAAGTTCCAAGACCTTTGTTGGCCTGACCGATTCATTACTGTTGCCAAAGCAGGGTCCATGACCAGCACATGCTCTCCCTCTCTCCTCTCCCAGGTGAACTACTCCCAGCCACTGGTGGCAGTGAAGTTCCTCAACATCACCTTCAACAGCGACGTCAACGTGGAGTGTAAGATCGTGGCCAGAGACATCAAGGTGGACGCAGAACAGCGTGACAAGTTTGCCGGTCGCGTCTCCTTCAAGTTAAGGATCAACAAGAGTTAATTTGCCCAGAAGCACGCACACAAGTACACACACACACACACTCACAAAGACACACACTAATGTAGATCTGTACAAAGTGAGAGATTTGCAGAGCCACGCTGTATTAAAACAATCAGCCTACAACACAGGGACAGTGCAACACAAAGACACAACACAGAGCACGGAATGAGAGCAGACACTAACACACCAGTACCGTATATGGGCACGGCTTGGGGCTTGTGCAGATCTTGCATGGCCTGAGACAGATTCTCGTGGGGAATTCAGATGTTGGGGAGGGGACGCATTAGAATTCGGGTTTGGCGGGATCTCTTTTAATAAAGCAGGGCTCAATATATTCCTATCAAAACATGCTGTGTTACAGTTGGATCGAAGCTGTAAAGAAAACCTCAAGAACACACACACATGCACTGACGACTTTGTCGATGGACTGTTGCCGAATGACAGTATCCTGTAATGCGACCCTCCACCCAACTCCCCCTCCCCCATGAATCAACCCTACCCCCCTTAAAAAAATCATCGCATTACCTAAAGAGAACATATCTATAAATGTGTGTATGTGTACATGCGTACGTTACCCCACAGGACTGGGAGTTCTTGGCTAAGATGGGGAATTCTTAGGGATGCTGGATCCGTGGACACGGGCTGTGTTGTTGAATGTTCCTGGTCTGTGATTAGAGCAAAGCAAAGTTGTCCATAATTCTGCATCCTGGAGGAATACTGGAGCTTGGCCAATCCTGGGTTATTCTGTGGGGAGATGTATGTCATGTATAGATCATTTCTAAATGTGTAAAGCAGATATATATATATATATTTGTTTTTGTATTAATTTGCACTGGACAGAGCGGGATATTCCCGCCTATGGACTAGAGAGGGAGAGCGGAGGGATTTTGCTCCATTGTCATTCCCATTTTTCCAACGGATTCCCACGCCATTGTCTCTGTGCTCCACGCTGCACAGCTCCAGTGCCTCTGCTTGTTTCCTGTACCGCGCAAACCCGTCGTTTTCCATGTCTGCAGATCTGCTTTGTGTACGTTTGAGTGTGCAGACAGAAACTTTTCCCTAAATACCTGTGTCCACTGGCTCCAGGCATCAGTGGACACTGGTGTGTGTATACAGTGCCTCCTATAGGAGTCTGGACACTGGTGCGTGTGTGTACAGTGTCTCCTATAGGAGTCTGGACACAGGTGTGTATATGTACAGTGTCTCCTATAGGAGTCTGGACACAGGTGTATATATGTACAGTGTCTCCTACAGCAGTCTGGACACTGGTTCATGTGTGTACAGTGTCTCATGTAGGAGTCTGGAAACAGGTGTGTATATGTACAGTGTCTCCTACAGCAGTTTGGACACTGGTGCATGTGTGTACAGTGTCTCCTACAGCAGTCTGGACACTGGTGCGTGTGTGTACAGTGTCTCCTATAGGAGTCTGGACATGGGTGTGTATATGTACAGTGCCTCCTATAGGAGTCTTGACACCAGGTGTGTATATATACGGTGTCTCCTATAGGAGTCTGGACACAAGTGTGTATATGCAGTACACAGTGTCTCCTATAGGTTTCTGGACACCAGGTGCATATCTACAGTGTCTCCTATTGGTGTCTGGACACCAGGTGTGTGTGTATATACCATGTCTCCTATAGGAGTCAGGATACCAGGTTTGTATATATACAGTGTCTCCTATAGGTTTCTGGACACCAGCTGTGTGTATATACAAGTGTCTCCTTTACGTTTCTGGACACCAGGTGTGTGTGTATATTCAAATGTCTCCTGTAGGTGTCTGGACAGCGGGTGTGTGTATATACAGTGTCTCCTATTGGTGTCTGGATACCAGGTGTATGTTTATACTGTGTCTCCAATAGGTGTCTGGGCAGCAGGTGTGTGTATATACTGTACAAGTGTCTCCTATACAGTAGGTGTCTGGACACCTGGTGTGTGTGCATATACAAATGTCTCCTGTAGGTGTCTGGACACCAGGTATGTATATACTGTGTCTCCTATAGGTGTCTGGGAAGCAGGTGTGTATCTGTACAGTCTCTCTAATGGCTGCAAATGAGGTATATATATCCAGAAATTCATGTTAGTGTTCGCCCACCTGATACATACGCACTGTGTATACTCAATAACGCTTGTACAGATACTTATTGGAGCCAGATAATTATTTACTTATTTATTTGTTTTTGCTAGTTTATTTATTGACTGATTGATTGTGACAGATTGTTTTGAACAGTGTAGGAGTTTGTTGTTTGTTGTAGAGCATTGTCCTAGAATATATCCATGTGCGATTCCATAAGTATCCTTCTGCAAGTTACTGGTGCGGTCAGCAGGAATCTATAGGTCCTATCCATGACATTCCATAGACATCTCAATACATTCCCTAACTCCAAGATGTAAGTCAACAGAATTGACAGTGCACAGTGAACAGGCCTTGGAGTTTGTGGCTTTACCACCAGGGGGCACTAAAACTCATTCTTTGTGAAGTGCCCTCTGTCATTTTCTCTGGGAGCTCTTGGCCTGTTATTTTTGGTGTGGGACCTAACAGAGCTGTCAGAGGGGTCAGTTTACCTTCAAAGCTGAATCCCTACACCAGCCTCGCATCAAATGAAGTGGTGCCGCCCCCTGGTGGTGAAAATGTGCAAGCTCTGGGATGCATCAGGGACTCCTGCAGCCCAGGTGACACAGTGTGGGAGGTCTGTACAAGCAAACTGCAAGAGGCAACTGAAGAACAGGACGCATATCAGCTGTCACATATCACATTTCTCTGAATCATGTCCAACATCTCGCCCATCGGTTGATATTTATTACCTTTTTTATCTTCTTGTCGTCGAGTTATTTTGGGGGCCCTGGAGCATCTATAGAAGCAATATATTCTGCGCGGCTTTAATCGGTGTGTTTTGTTAGATTAGAATCGCGAGAGACGGGACGAACACGCACACGTAGGAAAAATCTAGAGAATGTTTTTCACCGAAAATCCAACCGAAGGTGGAGGCCGTCAGTTTCTGCCGACGGTTTTCTAGCAGTGCTCAAGAAGTGGGAGGGGAGTTGAGTGAGGAGCGTCTCCCATTCTGAGGCCGGGACAGACCTGGAGATCTGGGGGGGGGGGAGAGGGGTGTGGCAGAGCCCTACTGCTCAGACAAGTGAGAGGAGCTACAGTCCTGAGCCAGCTCAGCTCAGCTCAGCTCAGCTCAGAGAGAGGGGAGAGTGCAGGCAGGGTTAGACTGGGGCTCTGATTGGGACCTGCAGCCCAGGATACTGCGGTCAGCTCTCCAGCTCCCCGAGAGAGGAGGTGAAGCGTCCTGTGTCGGCCACAGGCCGGGGCGGCAAGCTGGAGAGAAACAGAGCCAGGTGTATCTCCAGCACCACTGAACAAGTGGAGCTCCTGCTGCCTGCCCGTCCCCCCACCACCACCAGGGCGGCGACAATACGCCAAACCCTGGGCAACCTGTGGGACGCTCTTCGTAAAACCCCCATCACATTGACGGGAGAAGACACAGATGGCACAACACCGAGCACATAAGGGAGCCGGCTCGAGCACAGCAGCACAATATCTCCTTCTGTGCGAAATGCAGGGTCTGCCTCACACGTACCCGGCAGAAGGACAATGCGCATGCCAGTTTAAAATCCATTTCCATCAAATTGGACCCGATTTGAATTCGTCCCGCTCAATACCGAACTTGAAACAGAGACACACTGAGACTACCCCTTACTCTTTCCATCTCTCCGTCTGTCCAGTTTCCTTCTCTCTATTGTTCCCTCTTCCCTTCCTCTCTCTCTCTCTCTCTGAGATCAGTGCAGAACTGACAGACTCATTCCTCACAGGCGAACCTAGTGTTTACTCTGCGCTAGTGGGCTTCAGCAGCAGTCCGGCGGCGGTGTGACCCACCAGTGATGGCATTCGAGAGGGGGGATGAGACCCCAGTGCCGGCTGCTCCCCCACTCCTCCCCCTCTCCCACCCCAAGTCATCCTGTTCCTTTCCTCCTCTTTTCTTTTGAAAACATATATATATACGTATATAAAACATATAAGATGAAATAAATGAAAAACTACATGAAATACGATATTTAATGCCTGTTATTGAACTGCTGGATTCTAAAAGAGAAAAATAAAAAGTGAAATCCCAAAAAAAGAAAATAAAAGGATTTTGTGTTTAAAAACCCACTTTGTCCTGCTTTATTTCTGCCCGTGGAGAGCAAAAAGGAATACAGAGGATGTCCTCTTTTATCCGGATGGTCCTGCAGGAGTATGGATCGGTGGCGCAGTGCTGGGGCCCTGGGTTCAAGTCCTGACCTGGGGTGCTGTCTGTGTGGAGTCTGCATGTTCTCCACATGTTTGTGTGGGTTTCCTGCAGGTGCTCTTGTTTCCCTCCACAGTCCAGAGACAAGCTGGTAGTTTAATTGGCTTCTGGGAGAGCTGGCCCTGGTGTGAGAGTATGTGTTTTTGTCTGTGTGTCTGCCCTGTGTTGGACTGGTGTCCTGTCCAGGATGTACCCTGCCTTGCTTCCCTCCCCTTGCTGGGATAGGCTCCAGCTCCCCCGCGACCCAGAATTGGAAGAAGTGGTTAGAAGATGGATGGATACTTGGCAATGTGGGAGAAAGAGGAAGTGGTGTCCAGGAGAGAGGCACAAGGTGCCCTCAGCAAAGAGCTCCTCCTCTCCCTGTGGAGAGATGAACAGGAGAGCGTCAAGGGTGCTGGGGGTTTGTGGGGTGGAGTGACCTGCGTATGATGGTGTGATGCCCATGGGGACTGTGTGGCTGGAGCAGTGACCGCTGTGGTGCCCCAGGGGAGGGTGCGTGTGGACAGCGTCGGCGACCGCTGTGATGCCCCAGGGAAGGGCGCGTGTGGACAGCGTCAG